TTGGCGGGTCCGGGCTGGGGATTCGAACCCGACAGCTTAGGTGTACGTGGCTGGCGCCTTAGCCGGTTGAGCTATAGGCGCCGAGCCGAAAAAGACTTTTAATAAGTAGGTGTATGTAGCAGAAATGTGGAGCACTGGGACCTCTCATAGCTTGTTGGAGGGAATGTCAGATGAAAATGGTTTTGCAGCTTCTTTTAAGTTAAACATACACTGACCACACAGCATAGCTATTCTACACCTAGGTATTTACCCAGGAGAATTGAAAACATAGGTGCACAGAGACTGGTACACAAATGTTCATAACAACCTATTTTTTTTTTAGAATTATCTGAAAAAGATATTTAAAATTTTTTTTCTGTCTCACTGAGATAAAATTGACAAATAGGAATTGTACCATCATGTGCCATTTTGCAGTATTCTAGCCAGTGACAGATTGTACGACAGTGGTCCCATTAGATTATAACACCATATTTTCACTCTCCCCTTTCTGTGATATGTTTGGATATACAAATAACTTACCATTGTGTTTGAATTGCCCATAGTATCCAGTACAGTGGCACAGTGCACAGGTTTGTAGCCTAGGAATAAACTAGCTACTGTATTTTGCTGTGTATAATGTGCACCCATGTTTTTGGCCCAAATTTTCAGGAAAGAAAATCTTTTGTTTTAGTTTTGTAATTCAAATTTTTAATTGCTTATGGTTAGATACTTGTTTTTTGTATTATAGAGGAATTGTAACTTTTTTGAACATATTATGGTATAAAAAATGATATGTAACAATTAGTTACAGAACATAAGAGCAGATACAAGGTACAAGGAATTTTGCAAGAATTTTGTAAAATTATCAGCTAGATTGCTAGCTCCTGCCTAATATATATGAACAGAAATGCATTGCTCATTGTTGGCCAAAAATGCCTTCGTTGCAAGTTCATCGTAGGTTCAGCAAAACCAATAACTATAATCCAGGGTATTATTTTACATCTGGGTATTGTTATTGCTTCATAGAGTTACACTTTTAACACATAAGCATAAATAAAAGAATTAAAAACATTTATAAAGATAGGGAATTAGCACTACCCATGTTTAATATGCATCCTCATTTTTCCCTCAAAAATTTGGGCAAAAAAATGGACCTTAAACATGGCGAGATACAGTATTTCCTACCACCTAGGTGTGTAGTTGGCTGTATCATCTAGGTCTGTATAAGTACACTCTGTGATGTTTGTGCAACAGTGAAACAGCCTGCTACTACATTTCTCAGAAAATATCCTTGTCATTAAGCAACTCATGATTATGTATTTAAGGTGTACAACTTGATGTTTTTCATGACACTCTTGGTCATAAGAGCCAGAATACTGGAAACAGGACCAGTGGCATTAACCAGTGAAGGGAGAAACAAATTATGATGCATCCATACAATGGAATAGTACTCGGAAAAAACTACTAATGGATACAGCAGCATGGTGATTCTCAGAAGCCTTAGGCTGTGTGACACGGCAAGACTTGAAAGACTGCAAAAGGCAGAAATCCATTTATGTAACATCCTGGGAAAAACAAAACTTTAGGGACAGAGAACAGATTAGTAGCTGCTTGGGGGGTCAGAGGAAGTGATTGAATACAGAGAGGCATAAGGGAACTTTAGGGGGCGGTAGATGTGTTCCCCGTCTTTATCCTGGTGGTGACTATGTAACTATCTTTATTAAAACTCATCAAACTACATACTTTAAAAGAGTGAATTTCATGTATAAACTATGCCATATAATCTTACATTTTAAAAAATGTCATCAAATATTGTCAAGTTATAAGCAAATAGTTATTTGTTTATAATCACATATGAAAAGTTTCTGTTTCTCTCCCCCCACTATAGGCAACATTCCATACTCCATTTAGTCACCTAGGCCAGAGTCCAGAAGGATGCTCCTCCTACACTTTTCCGAAGATAATGGGTCCAAGCAAGGTAACTTTGGGAAAGCTTAAAAATAAAATTTAATGAGTCATCTCTATTCTAGAAGTAATCTCACACTCTCTCTTCTTTCCCTTGCTAATATGAACAGAAGAGATGGAAGCTAATTATTCACTCTTCAGCTCTCCAAGGAGTTTTACATGTGGAGAAACTAGGCTATGGAAAGTGTCTGGTATAAAGGAAAATTAGACATTCTCCCTGTAGCCCCTGGAACTGGCATTTTCCTCTTTCAGCTAGTTGACTAGTGCTAGCTACTTGCAAATAGCACAAGACCTTGTCCTCCACAGCTGTGTAGCATTGGTCATTTGAAGGACTGGGGCTATGCCAGGCTCCCTTGGTCTGCTGAGCTCAGGGGCCCTTAATTCCTTTCTGGATGACGAGTGTCCTCTAAGAAAGAGAGGGTGTCTTCACTTTCAGTTTTATTAAGTACCAACAGGTGTGAGGCTTAATGAGGGTTTACTCCTTCCAAAGCAACTCTGGACCACAATAGTCCTCTCATCAGCCAGTTTTGAAAGTGCAATTACAATTGTCAGGGTGGTTAAGAGGCTGCTCAGGTCTCTTGCTGTGTTTATGGCAACCTAGTTGTCCATGCTTCTGTGGTGTGACTCCAAGGGGATTATGAAAAGACTAGAGAACCAGGTCATAGGGAAAGGCTTCACAAAAATTCTTCAATATCTCAAAGTATGATTGGAGGGGAGAAGTGGGAATTGAGTCTGTTTTCTTTATTAGGCCAATGGGAGAAAAAAAAAATACATATATATATTTTAAACTCATTATGCTGTTAAAATATAATAGCATATGAGTACACATATAAAATAATACTCATATTTTAATATGTGAGTATTAAAATATGTTAAACTCATTCTCCAAATTGTTCTTGGAAGATTTGAACTTTGGAAGTTTGAAGTTTGGGCAAAACCAACTCTAAATCTTAGAGCATTTGACTATGAAATAGTCATTACTCTTCTGAAGGAAGAATCACAAATGTGGAGAGGATATCGCCTTAGTATCCCCATTTTTTTTTTAATGTAAGTCTTCACTTTCTTTCAGTCAAATAGAATTAATTTGAGTATCTGTACAGCTAAAGAAAAGTCTGAGCCAGACCCTGGGTAGAGTTTCCAGGGAGTGGAATTTTGAATATTTCTAAAGGTTAATCCTATGACCATGAATTTTTCTTTTCTTTTTTTTTTTCTTTTGTGATGTTTTATAATGTATAAAAAGAAAAAAAATCATAGCTGCTGTGGGTTATAGGAGCAGTATCTGCTGTACGTCATTTCGGCCCCAGGCTACCCAATCTGCTTCTCCAACAAGGCACAGATAGAAGCAGCAGCCTTTCCAGACCTTTCAGAGACCTGTGGTGTCTCAGCACACAGTTTGCCAACTGTTGCTCATTGAGGTCATCAGCTTCTCCCTTACTGAGCAATATCAGCAATCTCAAAAGATTATGAGTAAATCAATTCCATGCCTCTTGAAAGCAGCCAATTCTGAAGTTAACTGAAGCCTTGTTTTCTTAATGTCTTAACCTTGCTTTTCATTTCAGGCAACTGAGATGCTTATTTTTGGAAAGAAATTAACAGCAAGAGAGGCATGTGCTCAAGGACTTGTTACTGAAGTTTTTCCTGATAGCACTTTTCAGAAAGAAGTTTGGACCAGGCTGAAAGCGTATGCAAAGCTCCCCCCAAATGTTAGTATTCATCCTTTACTCATAGGAACCATGGAAATAATTTCCTAAGGGAAAAATGTGCTTGCCTTCAGAGAATAAGTCACAAAAAAGACAAGACACATCTTTCATTAGCTTTAAGCACATCTGAATTTGGGTTTAAAGATAATTGTCATAATGTTGGAAATACTGTTGACTGTTTAACAACATGGGTGTTGACCACTTACACAGTCAAAAATCCACATATAACTTGATTCCACACTTAAACTGCTAATAGCCTACTGTTGACCAGAAGCCTCAGCAATGACATAATTGTTGAATAATACATACTTTATATGTTGTGTATATTATATACTGTATTCCTATAGTAAAGTAGAGGAAAAAAATGTTATTAAAAATTCATTAAAAAAAAGAAAATATATTTACTTAGCATTTAGTAGAAGTGGATCTCATAAAGGTTTTCATCCCTATTATTATGTTGATAGGAACAGAAGGAGTAAGTAGAAGGGGAGGCAGGAGAGGCAGGTATGCTCAGTGTAATATTTATTGAAAAATATCCATGTGTAAGTAGACCCATGCAATTCAAACCTGTGTTAAAGGCTCAACTGTACTGGTGCTTCGAAAACTTGCCAAATAGATATTCCATGATAAGAGGTCATAGGGTTAATTCTTTATGGGAATAACTTGAGCATAATGATAAGAAGTATTGATAAATATGTAACTGTACATAAATATATGTAATCTAGGAAGCCAGACAGGTTAAATGAACTTCAGGAAACTCTTAACTTCATGACACTTTGGTTTTTATAAAATGACTGAGTCATATGTTCTTGCTATTTAAAATGTGGTTCTGTAACCAGAAGCGTTAGCATTTATCTGGGCTTTTTGGAAATGTATAATCACAGGCCGGCCCCACACCGAATCAGGTGATTCATATGCACACTGAAGTTTGGGAAGCACGGTCTTATATTACACACGTATGTTACGAATTAGCAGGATTAGTTACATGAACATTGGAGAAATAAAAATCAGAAACACAGAACAGTCCCACCCCGTTAGAAGAATAACTCTTAACTTTCTTTTTGTTTTTGTTTTTCCAGGCCATGAGAATTTCAAAAGAGATAATGAGAAGTAGGGAGAAAGAAAAGCTACGTGCCATTAATGTTGAAGAATGCAATGTCCTTCAGGAAAGATGGCTGTCAGATGAATGCATGAATGCGGTCATGAACTTCTTATCCAGAAAAGCAAAACTGTGATTGATGACCGCGACAGCAGAGTTAAGCTTTCCAAGGAAGGAATGTGGTGTTAACTTATTCCTAGCACTTGAACTAAAAAACTTCATTGTGCCTTTTTTGTAGTGAGAAAATATCAATTATGGTGATTATATTTTATCGCAGCTCTGAGAAATAAAAACATTTTTTAAAACAAGTTTCAAGAATTCACATAGGTTTTTGGTAATAGACAATCTTACATCTTTCCTCAGGAATTTTTGTTGCCAGGAACACTGGATCATGGTGCCTGGGGTCCTGCTTCGAAAAGCACGCACAGCATGACAAGCTGAAATTATATCTTTGAACGCCACTATTGCGGTTTGCTTTCCACACATAGTGACTGACTGAATTGTGCCAAATGCTGACAGCCTATAGATCACCGACTTGAAATCCTCAGTGGCTTTCACGTTGTGTTTTAGCCAGCTAGCAAGGGAGTAAATAGAAGGAATAGTATTACTGGAAAACAAATAATCTTAGTTCTTCCCCTCCCCCCCAATAAAAGGCATAAAGGGAAAGTTGGGTCAAACTGCTGAAAAGTAATGCTCTGTGTCAGTAATTATTTCCTCGTAGAGCCCATTCTTGTCTAATGGAGTATTTGATGAAAGATACCTGCAAGCTGCCTGAACTGTCTTTGCAGCTTCCTATTTTGATTAGTGCCTTATGTATCATTGAACCAGGGCTGAGGATGTAATTCCAAGGGTTACAGAAGTGGTGTGGGATATTTTGCTTTTCTACAAAATTGTCCTTAGTCATCAGTTTCCAGGTAGCTAACTCCACCGGATCTCTAACTCTTTAGTTCTTACTTTCATTTTTATTCCAGTAATCCAAATCCAAAATGTTAGGTCTTATAGAAATATGTGAATAGAAATAACTGTCAGTTTCTCCTGGACACTTACTGTAACAGGTGCTTAATACCCATTATCATACATTATATTCTCCCCAAAACAGATGCCAAAAATTTAAAATGAGGTAAGTTCTATTGCTACTATCTTTTATAAGTAGGCCTCTTGAAGTATGGAAATTGAGGTAGTTTTTCCAGAGTCAAACTCCTGGTGACTGTCAAAATACAGATTAACCCTTTCCAATCCAATCTTTTTGCCATCCACCTACTCCCCAGCTCTTACGTATTTTGGGAGGGAAAACAAGTTGGTGGATTGCTTGTAATTATCCTCATTTTAAAAGAGAAAAATATGAACTCACCTCTGATTATTATCTATTTTAGGCTACATAAAGTGTTTTTGTTTATAAACCAAAAAATTACTATGTCAGATGAGGTCAGACATGGGATCAGAAATGGTTAAAACCCTAACCAAAGTTTTCCAGTTCTACTATTGTGGCATATGCTGACTATTTCCTGTTTCCCACATTATTTACAACCAACCCCCCTAGACAAAGTATGTAAAAAGACTATCTGAGGACACTGTAATTTATACAAAAGCAAGTAAATTATGGAAGGCAGTGAAAATACAGGGAAGCAATTTTATGGGGATGAGTTTCCCAGATTGTGGGAAGTAAAACAATTGCTGGGATTTCCGTCTTGAGCATAGTAGTTTTCCCTCAAAGGCACAACATCAATGGGGCCATTGGAATGGTGCTTTGTGGCCATGTGGCATGTCCAACCAAATATTGAGAAAAACAAAAACATCTTTCTAGATAGGAAAAGGAGCTAGAAGAGTGAGAGTAAAAAGAAATCCCAGAGCAGAGAGACAAGTTACCCTAATTCTAAGTATGAACCTATATAAATCTGAGGTTCATTGGTGAGACAGAGTCAAACCAACATAGCAAAGGCTTTGAAAATTGAACTGGGATTTTTAGCTACCACCCACATAAGATCAAGACAAAGCTTATAGTCTGAACTTAATCATGTTGATTTCTTGCTCAACAAAAACATCAACATTCTCTAGATGACTGCAACTAGATCCACAAAAATACCAACATCTTCCAGGTGATTGTAACAGGACCCGGGATCCATGAGACATAATAGTCACAATGCCCATTATACAATCCAAAATTATTTGACATATAAAAAATCATAAAAATCTGAAAACTCAATTGAGATACTAATAGATAACACATATCAATCCTGAGATAACTCAGATGTCAGATTTGCCACATAGTCTTTAAAGGAGTTCTTATAACTATATTGCATGAGATCAAGAAAAACACACTAGAAATGATTTAAAATGTAAGAATTTTTGGGAGGTGCCTGTGGCTCAAACGAGTAAGGCGCCTGCCCCATATACCAGAGGTGGAGGGTTCAAACCTGGCCCCCAGCCAAAAACTGCAAAAAATAAAAAGTAAAAATTTTCAGCAGAGAAACACAAATGATAAAACCAAATCATAATTTTAGAAATAAAAATGTGAAAAAAATTATCCAGAGGGATTCACTAGCAGACTTGAAGGAGTCAAGGAATGTTGAAGATAGGTTAATAGAAATTAGTATGAAAAACTTAGAAAAAAATACTAGGGAAAATGAATAAAGTAACATCAACAAGATGGCAAAATAGCAAGTTCTATGCCCTCATTCTCCTCATGGAAACATCAAAGAAGCAGCTACAGACTGACTAAAATAACTTTATACTACGTAAGAACTAAAAAAATCAGTCAAACATCTATTGCAAATAAGTGAATGCTGAATTCAGAAAATGTCACATTGAAAATGATTGGAAATTTTATGGCCTTTTTTAGTCACCCTTACCCAATCCACCCTCCTGTGTCATGCAGTCTGAAGGAATTGACCTAATCTCTGTTTCCCTCCTTAGGATAAAAGGAGCAGAGTGGAACTTGATTGCAACATTCTGGCCTGTCTACGGGCTAATAAAGGGAGTAGTTTCTGTATTTCCTGACTCAGACAGGAAATAGCAGCACAGTTTCGGTTTTAGGTTGAAAGCTGCAGAAGGCTGTGGTAGACAAAGCAGAATAGGAAAACCACACAAGGACTGTAGACCTTGAAGACAAGACATTACGGACAGAGGAATACAATAGAACACCTGAGGCCCTGAGACTACATAGCAGTGAGAGTTCAGGAAATACAGGCATTTAAAAGCAGTTGAGGGGAAGGTTTGGGAAGCGCTCACACACACACAGAAAGGAAGCATGCCTAGAAAAGCCTTGAGAAGACCTCAGTTCATCTTAAGGCTATGGGCCCACAAATCAGTGAAGGTCTTACACACCAGTCTGCAAAGACTGAAAGAGTGGTTATTTTGTTAGTGCTTAGTTTTCAACCAAAGGTCATAAGGCATGCAAAGAAACTGAGAAAGATCTTCCATTCAAAAGGACAAAATAAATCTCCAGAAACAGTCCTCAAAGAAACATAGGCATCAGGTTTACTAAATAAAGACCTTAAAATAATTTTCTTAAATATGCTCAAAGAGTTAAAGACAGACACAAAGAACTACAGAAAATCGGGAAGACAATATAGGAAAAAAATAAGAATATCAAAATGAGGCGAAAGCTATAATTAGTTTGATGTAAACACTCCACATTGTATTAAAAAATCAACATCTTGTACCCCACATATGCATACATGTATTCATGATCTATGTGTATATGACTTAATAAAAAAGAAAAGAAAAAACTTTACACCATCATCCTGACCACACTCAGGGCAGCGAAGATAGAAGGAACCCTCACCTGAATTCCTCACAGCTGACTAAAGAGAGTTTCATTGCCCCATAGAAAGCAAAGGTAACTTTTAAAATAGTCAATATGCCCTGCTCCAGCCATATACTGAGAGCTGGCTGGCCCACACATGGCTGAAGCCTGAGGAAACTCCTCATGAGACTTGTCTTAATTAAACTTTGGACTTTGGAAAAAGAGAAGGAGGGATGTAATCTGCGTACCCACATCCCAGAAATAAAACAAAGAATGTGTCTTTTTAAAAAAAATGAAAAAAAAGAAAAAGTAAACCAAAAAGAAATTCTTACACTGAGAAAAATAATAACAGTTTTAAAAATTTCACTCAAGGAGTTGTACAGCAAACTCAAGAGCAGAACAAAGAATTAGCAAACTTGAAAACAGATCTTTTGAAATTATTGCAATTGAGAAATACAAAGAAGGAAGAATTTAAAAGTGAACACAGGCTAAGGACTTAGGGAACACCACCAAGCCAACCAATATATGCACAATGGAAGTCCCACAGGAAGAGAGAAGAGAGACTTTCTGAAGAAATGATGGCAGAAAATATACTAAATTTGAGGAAAGACATAGATATACAAATTCAAGAAATTCCATGAACTCCAAGTAGGATAAACCCAAAAAGATCCACAATAAAATCAAACAATTATAATCCACAATTATAATCAAACCTGGCAAAATCCCAAGACAAAGAGAACCTTGAAGGCAAGAGAAAAGTGACTCATTATGAACAAGGGATCCCCAATGAACCTATCAGTGGTTCTTTCAGCAGAAACCTTGGGAACCAGATGCAGTAGGATGACATATTTATAGTGCTGAAAGGAACAATAACAACAAAAAAATCCAGTCACCTTAAAATTCTGTATCTGGGAAAACATTTCCTCAAAAACAAGAGCAAAATTAAGAATCCAGACAAACAAAAGCTGAGGTTTTATTATCACTGCACTGTAAGATATACACTATGTTAAAAGAAGTCTTTCAGTTTGAAATGACATAATACTAGTTAGTAACTAGAAGACATTTGACAATATAATGTTCCCCAGTAATGGTAAATACATAAGCAAATATAAAAATAATATTATTGTACTTTTGGTTTATGAGTCCACTTTTTATTTTCTTCAGGATTTAAAAAGATAGTTGCATAAAAATAATTATGAATCTATGTTAACAAATGTATACAAACATTTATACTTTTGGTTTATGAGTCCACTTTTTATTTTCTACAGGATTTTAAAAAAATAGATGCATAAAAATAATTATGAATATATGTTAATAAATGTATATAAAGATGTAATCTGTGATAGCAATAACATAAGAGGAGAAGAGCTGTAAAGAAATAGAGTTGTTTTTTTTTCATTGAGACAAAGTCTCACTTTGCTGCCCTTGGTAGAGTGCCATGGGGTCACAACTCACAGCAACCTCAAACTCTTGGGCTTAAGCAATTCTTTTACTTCAGCATACCAAGCAGCTAGGACTACAGGCATCTGCCTCAATGCCCGGCTATTTTTTTTTTTTTATCAGGCCCGGGCTGGATTTGAACCTACCAGCCCTGGTGCATGTGACCAGTGCCCTACCCACTGAGCTACAGGCACCACTCAAAATAGAGTGTTTGTATAGTATTAAAGTTCATATGAATTTAAGATAGATTATCATAACTTTAGGATGTTATATTAATGGTAACCACAAAGAAAATATTCACAAAGGAAATGATAAGGGAATCTAAAAGGTGTCACTAATAAAAAGCCAACTAAACATAAAGGGAGGAAACAGTAATGCAGGACACAAGG